TATAGTCAGGAAAGGTGTGTGTCAGGGTTGTATCCATTCACCATACTTTTTCAATCTATATGCTGAGCAAATAATCTGAGAAGCTGGGCTGTCTGAAGAAGAACAGGGCATCAGGATTGGAGGAAGACTTATTAACAATCTGCATTATGCAGATGATACAACCTTGCTTGCTGAAAGTGAAGAGGACTTGAAGCACTTACTGATGAAGGTCAAAGACCAGAGCCTTCAGTATGGATTACACTTGAACATGAAGAAAACAAAAATCCTCACAACTGGATCAATAAGCAACATCATGATAAACAGAGAAAAGACGAACATTGTCAAGGATTTCATTTTACTTGGATCCACTATCAACACCCACGGAAGCAACAGTCGAGAAATCAAACGACACGCTGCAATCGGCAAATCTGCTGCAAAAGACCTCTTCAAAGTGTTAAAAAGCAAAGATGTCACCTTGAAGACTAAAGCGCCCCTGATCCAAGTCATGGTGTTTTCAATCGCCTTATATGCATGCGAAAGCTGGACAATGAATAAGGAAGACTGAAGAAGAACTGATGCCTTTGAATGATGGTGTTGGCAAGGAATACTGAATATACCACGGACTGCAAAAAGAACGAATAAATCTGTCTTGGAAGAAGTGCAACCAGAATGCTTCTTAGAAGGATGGCGAGATGTCTCGTATACTTTGGACATGTTATTAGGAGGGATCAGTTCCTAGAGAAGGACATCAAGCTTGGTAAAGTAGAGGGTCAGTGAAAAAGAGGAAAACCCTCAATGAGATGGACTGACACAGGGGCTGCAACAATGGGCTTAAGCATAACAATGATTATGAGGATGGCGCAAGATCAGGCAGTGTTTTATTCTGTTGTACATAGGGTCGCTAAGAGTTGGAACCAACTCAATGGCACCTAACAACAACAACAACAAAGATATACAAGAAACTGAATTACAAAGATTGACTCATGAGAGTGGAACTGGATGAGGGACCCATTTTCATTATTTAATTTATAAATGTTTGACTATTCAAATTCAAATTGTATTAAAGATGATTCCACTTTTCTGAGAAGGTGGTGCCTGTCAGTAAGATAGTAAAAACAGGAAGGGGCATTTAATTTTTTTAAAGGGAGGATGGAAGGGGGGAATGACAATTTTGTCATGAAAATGGTGAATCTGTGATGCCTATGGGAAATTGGTGTTAATGATTAATATGTCAGTAAGTAAGCAGTTCTGTATCTTAAGAGGACATTTAGAGCTAGAAATATATGTTAGAAAGTTGTAAGTGGTGATCCTAGACAGAATGAAAGAACTTGTAAAAAAAAAAAAAGAGGGCCAATTCATTAATTTATGTATTCATTCATTCACTCAAACATTTATCAAGCACCTACTATGTGCCAGACACAGCTCTTATTCTTGAGCATAGAGCAGAAAACAAGTCAGACAAGGGTTCTGACCAGGGAGCAAATACGATGACTTCAGAAAGTGTTAACTGTTACAGATGAAACAGAAAGAGGTTAATATGTTAGAACAGGATGAGGTGGGGGATACTACTACAGTTAAGGGCAGTCATGGAAAGTACCTCTGAAAGATGACATCTGACCCAAGACTTGAATAGTGAGAAGGAACCAGTCACTGGAATAACTGAAAGGAGAATGTTTTAGGTAAACAGAAGTAAAAAAAAAAGCCCTGATGTATCTTAAAAAAATAAAATAAAAGATTGGCTTCCTGAAAAAAACAGAAACCTATGCAGTACAGTGGGGATGAGAGAGTGTGGCATGAGGTGAGTTTGGCCAAAGTTGGGGAAGTGAGGCAACATTGACAATACAGTAGCTGGCAAAGCACTCCCCCCCCCCAAAAAAAAAGCAAAGTTGACTAAGAATCTATCAGAGAGGTAAACAAAAGCCAACAGATAGGTGCCCAAGAAATGAAGGCAGATCATTTCAAAAAGAAACTATCAAGTACGATAAAGACATTATATTTATTAGACCTGGGAAACTGGTAACTGAGTGAAAGCCTTAGAGGGTTGAGGAGTGAATGGCAATTAAGGATGTATAAAAGGTAAGTCCAAAAAAAAAACAAAAACAAAAACCTCTGTCAAGAAATTTGACTGTGAAAGAAAAGAGCAATTAAAGTTTGATTTTAATAGGGACTTCTGGCTCTTTGTTCTTTCATTTAAGGTGGAGAAGATTTGAGCGTGTTTATATATTGCTGTTGTAGTTAGAGGGAGCCCTGGTGGCTGAAAGGTCAGCAGTTCAAACCCACCAGCCACTCCATCTCTTCCATAAAGATTTACAGCCTAGGAAACCCTATTTGGCAGTTCTCCTCTATTCTACAGGGTTCCTATAAGGTGGAATCGACTCAACAGTAGTGGGTTTGGTTTTTTGGTTGTAGTGTAGTTAGTTGCCATGGAATTGATTCCAACTCATGGGAACCTCGTATGCAGAGTAGATGCTCAATCAGGTTTTCAAGGCTGTGACCTTTCGGAAGCAGACTGCCCGGCCTGTCTTCCAAGGCACCTTTGAGTGGGTTCCAACCGCTTAGTAGCGGGGCACTTAACCCTCTGCACCAGCCAGGGACTCCAAATGTTTATATGTAGAGCGTTGGAAAAACCTGCAAATACAGAAAAGGGATAAATGATGGAGCAAAGTTCTAAAGGAGGTAGAAGGGATGGTGTCTAGACTCAGAGCCAGAGATAAGGAGGAGGAGGTGGTCATTTGCCTAAGGGGGAAAAGAGTTGAGGTCTCAAAGAGAATACTAATAGAGGTTTGCTAAGAGGAAGGTGAGGAGAACTGTCCAGGTACTCTTAACCACAGACGTGGGCAAAGTGAGAACAGTGGGATTTGGCTGTAGCAGCATTTGTAGAGGCAACAGTCTCCATGATCATTCAATTTTCTCACAATGCTCAGTAGCCTGAGAGAGGGGTAGAGAGTAAACAACCAGGTACTCAGTCACCTATGATTCCTTATCATTTGTTTTATGAAATTTTTATTTAACTTTTCATGAATTTTATTTTCCTTTGTGATTATACAGTTTTCTGCCTTCCATTCCGATTAAAACAGAAGGCTCTATGATTCTTATAGATCTTTGTCTTCTTCAGTGCCTAGCACAAAGTTGTTGTTGTTAGGTGCCACTGAGCTGATTCCAAGTCATAGCGGCTCTACGTACAACAGAACGTAACACTGCCCAGTCCTGCACCATTCTCACAATCATTATGCTTCCACCCACTGTTGCAGCCTAGCACAAAACAAGAACTCAATAAATACTAGTTTAAAGAATAAAGTCACATAGTTTAAAATATTGCAATATAATTCAAGAAAATCATGTGTTTCTCCATCAGCTCACCTGTAAGCCTATGACATCATAAAGACTAAGTGTATTACTTCAGTCAGATGAAGTTTAGAGCAGCAATGTAACAGATTAGGATACACCCTTTAATTAGTCACTGGTTTTAACAAAACAGATCATTAAAAGTAATGTTGCCTTGTTTCATGACAGTCTTAAATACAGCATCTAAACTCTAACTCTAATTTCAAATTAGAGGAGATAAAAGCTAATTGCTTTTAACTCAGAAAAACTAGATACTTACACTCCAGTTAAAACAAAACCTATTTACTGCCAAAGTGTAAGCATTGCTTTAAATTACGATTATTTCCAATAGACTTCATACACTTCTATAAACTTTCTCAATTTCTCATTCTTCTGAATTCAACGTATTAGGAGATCACCAGGAAATCTCATCAACCAATTACTGCCTCCTGATCCAGTCTGTTTACTTTCCATTTTGCACACACTCCCCACTCCCCTACACACAACTAAACAACTGCCTGGAGATGGGCACTAATAGTACCCTGTGGACCACGGAGTACCATCCTTGTCCAATACGGGTTAGGAACCACACCTGAATGCCGGCTCTCTTACTGATTATCTGAGAAACTCCAAGAGCTGAGACATCATTTTGCTGACTGGAATACTGAAGAATCTGGGGATAGATTCTGCCTGTCCAAACCCAGTACAAATTAACAGACATTCTAAAGTGTAAACGAAAATGCCAATTCCTTTTCTTTAAAGAAAATGCTGTCCGTTTAGAAGGGGAGGCGGGCCAGACAGGAAAAGGGAAAAGAGTCCTCACTCCAATAAATCTTTTTCTCCACGCAAGAAATACATGGAAACACATCTTCTAAGCGGCTTTTACAAGATCGGACATCCGGCGGTACGGGAGGAGCATCTATCCATGAACTAAAAAAACCAGCCACCCTCTTGACCATCTGAGTCCAAGCAGAGCAAGATGGCTGGAGGTGGGGGGAGGGGTGGCGGTTTGGGGAAGGGTCTTCACTCCCAAGGGACACAAAAGTCCCTTATAGGAGGGCTCTTTAGTAGATGGAAGGCTAGAGAGTCGATGACCCAGAAAGTCTAGGGTTTGAGCGCCGGTTACTAAAAAAAAAAAAAAAACCCCGCTGCCGTCGAGTTGATTCCGATTCCAACTCATAGCAACCCTATAGAACGGCGTAGACCTGCCCCAAAGGGTTTCCAAGGTTGTACTCTTTACAGAAGCAGACTGCCACATTTTTCTCCCGCGGAGCGGCTAGTGGGCTCGAACTGCCGACCTTTCGCTTAGTAGCTGAGCGCTTAACCACTGTGCCACAGGTAGGCGGAGAAAATAAGGGTCTGGAAGGAAAGGAATGAGCGACTGACTCCTGCCACAGCTGTTAGGGGCATGATCCAGTTCGGATCCTCTGGCTAAGATCCACGTCTCCTCCGCCGTCCCCCTCCCCTGCCCCGGAGCTTCCTTTACATACCTACACCCCCAGAGAAACACAAACAGACCCTGCCCCGCTACCCGAAGCTGTCACCCTCGCGGTCAAGGGCGACAAAAAGTGCAGATGTCAGGGCGGCAGGTCCGCCACGCAGGGGGACCCGGCGACTCCTCTGGCTCACCTGGAGAGAACGGCGCGCCCCGGGCCGCCCGCCCCGGCCCTCGTGCCCCCGCGCCTCCTCACACTCACCCAGATCATAAGGCTGTCACAGAGCCGCAATTCGGGCTGCGGAAGCGGCTGCGTCTCTTCCATGGCCAGGGCCGCCGTCGACTACACCGCTGACACCGACACCTTCCACTTCCCCGCGCTCTGCCAGGAGCCGGCGTCGACGACCTGTTCGCCTGCCAGGAAAGCTTGGTAGCAAGGCCCAGCGCCGGCGCCGCTCACGCGCGAAACCTCGCGCGGCCGACGTTGCGGCGTAATCGCTTCCTTGCCGCCGCCCCCACCCTTCTCGGCGTTCGCCCCTTCCCCCGCCCGGGCCCCGCCGTTCAGCACCTGAGCCCCGCCCCTCCCCCTCCCATCCCTCCCCTTCCTTAGCCCCTCCCGCCCACTCCAGCTCGCCGCGCCCCGCCGCACTGAGTGACCTGTGCGCGCACCAGTCACAAAGAAGGTAGTGGCGGGACGGGGCGGGCAGGGAGAGGGGAGAGCGGGAGGAGGTTGCTCAGGAGGGATTGTTGATTGGACGCGCCCTCTTGGGGCTCCGACCAATCAACGTGAGACAAGCCTGATACTCCGGGATGGAGCGGGACCTTGTGGGAAGACGTTTATGACCTGGCAGGTGCAGTGAGGCAGGGGGAGGAAGGTTGTGCGTGGGGGAGTGGAGCGCGCGTGCGCGGCGGGGCGGTTGGAGGGGCTGAAGCTCGCTTAAATACCTGCGCAGCGCCTAGAGGCAGAAGGGGCTGCGTGGCAGCCAGCGAACCCGCGGTCCCGGCGGGGTGCAGGCATCTTCCCGCCTCATGCTTCTTCCTCGCCCTTGCATCGTCCTCCCGGCTGCACCTATGGAGATCCGCACTCTGCTTCCATAATGTCGTCAGAAATAGCACGTGTACAGGAATAAAAACCACTTGTTGGAAATTGTCCGCGTGTACTTACAACAAAGTCTGACGAGGAAACGGGAGCTGATTTTCTCCTGGGCATTCATTGGAAAAGGGGTATTTTAAATTTGCAGACATGGCAAAGAAATGTGTTTCCTAAGATAAAAAAAAACTTAATTCTGTTTACATCAAATAGCCTTTCAAGGGACCACAGACCATGGGCAAGTTTATTTAAAATGAGGCAAAAGGGAAGCCCATTTTCAGGTACAAATTGAAAAAATGAAATGGTCTTTCAGTTTTCGAAAATCATGGAAGATATCAATGTACAATGCTTCCCATTTTCCTTTAGGGGTTGAAAATCTGTCTCTTCTGAGAATTTTGGGGATGTGTGTTGGGGGCTGCTGGCATAAATTTGGAAGCTCTCCAAGGTACTGATAGATGGCTAAGATTATTGAGATGGACTAGAATAGTATTCTTGCTTTTGATGTCCATTAATTCACTCATTCATAAACTCGTTAATTCATGCTCTACGTAAGAATGCAGCTGGCTCATTTATATTGCTGCGTTTTTATATTTAGACACTGAACGCTTAAAACTGATATTTGACTGCAATTAAAAGTCCCTAAATGTAAACCAGGCTTCTTCTAAAAATACAGTACATTCATTTGCTACCAGCTCCCTTAACAATAGTCCATAACTTTTTTACTTTATAGGGATTCACTTTATATTTCTGGACACTGGGAATATTGGTAATTGACTGAATGAAAAATACAGGATTTAGGAATTGAAAATCTGATCTGAATGCTGGCTTTATTCCCCAGTAGCAGTCGACCTAAGCTCTCTCCTATACATACACTCCCCTAAAATAATGCTAATGGAACTACTTGACTTGTCTGCCTTATGGGGGCAATAATGATAATGGATGCTGAAGAGTTTTATGAATTGTAAACTTCTTAACAAATATGAGCTACTGTAATCATATATACTTAGAAGCATATGAAAACATAGCTTTTATCGCCAAGAGCCACAGGTGATTGAACTATTAATTAAAAGTAATAAGAGTAACGGGGGGGGGGGTTCAATTAAGTTATCCTTCTGGGCTCTGTACAAGTAGAGAGCAGACCTCGGGGAAAGGAGGCTTGATTCTCTTCAGGATATTAGATCCAATGGAAAAAACATGCAAAGTACATGATCGGTGAATTCAGACAGGAAGAAATACAAATATTAAACAAAAATGAAAAATTTAGAAAAATATAAAACATGAACCACTGAAATAAAACAATAAGATAATAATTAAGCTGAGAAGAGTAAAGTGCACTTTTGTACACAACTGGAACAAGTATTTTAGGAAAAAAAAGCAATCAATAAAATTTAAAACATCCATAGCATTTAACTTCATAATTCCATAATTTCACTACTGGTCATAATTCTATTGAAATAATAAATGTGGTAAAATGTTTTGAACAATGATGTGTATTGCAATCTTATATTATTGAACAGTACATGCCAAATAAACAATAATGGTTAAATACTCTATGGTATTCACAAGATAGAATATGTGGCAACTAATGTAAGTAATGCTTAGGAGAATATTTGATAACAGGAAAGTGTTCACAATGTATAACATTAAATACAAATTTAAATTTAAAATTAAATTTAAAAATATGAGCCATAAGACCTCAATACTGCAAATATTATTTATGTATTTTAATATATGTACAGCAAGAAGACTGAAAACAATATTCATCAAACTTCTGTGGTTATTTTAATATATAGGTTACAAGTGATTTTTATTTCTGTAAGCTTTTTTTGTATTTTTTAAATTTTTTCTATAATTAGCTTGTATTACTTTATAATCAGGTAAAAAGAATAAACAGAAGAAATATCAAATACAACATGAACTATCATTTTCTACCTATTAAACTGGCATTAATTTTTGAAAATGGGCATTCATGAGTCCTTGGGAGGTGCCAACGGTTAAGTGCTAGACTACTAGCCAAAAGGTTGGTAGTTCAAACCCACCCAGAGTTGCCTCGGAAGAAAGGCCTGGGGATCGGCTTCTGAAAGGTCACAGTCTTGAAAACCGAATGGAGCAGTTCTGCACACATGGGGTCTCCACGAGTCAGAATCACCTCTATGGCAACTAACAACAACATCCGTGTTTGAGGAGGTGAATGAAACTGAACTTTAAAATAGTAGTGGTGATATTATAAATTGGCATAATCTTTCTGGATATTTATTTGGCAATACAGATCAAGACCCTTTAAAATGTTCAAAGTCTTTAAGCCAGTAATTCTCTTCCAGAATCTATTCTAAGAGAATAATCAAATGCCAACAAAGTTATTGATTACACTGCTATTTATCAAAGCAGAAAAAAGACACAGCCATTAAATGTCTAGAAGAGGAGTAATTAAATACGTTATGATATGCCCATATGATTAAATGTATTGTAACCATTAAAATACTTTCAAAGAAGTTTAATGACTCAGGAAGAGGCTTACAAAAGAGCAATAAAAGAAACAATAAGGATACAAATCTGTGCATACAGTATGGATCTCTACATATGTAATAGTATATGTGTGTATGTACGTATATAAATAAGTATGTATTGATTCCTGTTTGTGTGTGTATGTATATATACTATATATAGTATATATGCATATACTGAGAGAGAGAGAGAGACTAAAGGAAATAAACCAAAATGTTAACAGTGGTTGATAATGTCTAGATGTTGGGATATTAAGGGAGTTTTACCTTCTTTATACTTTACAGTAATTGTGAAACTTTCTACAATAATTTTATTATACAAAAAAACTAAAGACTGAAAATTATTTTAAATTGTGCATATAGTAGGATCTCAACTGTGGAAGAATATGTATAAACACACACACATCTACTTATCTCTATGAAGAGATATTGAGAAGAGAATTGGGTAAAATTAAGCACAAACTTTAGTGTTACAGAGACCTGCTACCACTTCTTATTGCCTGGGTCCTGGACAAGTCACTTAACTTCATTAAGCCACAGTTTCAGTCTCAGTAAACTAAGATAATACTAGTATATTTCTGTATTGATTAGAGGTCCCTGGGTGGTGCAAATAGTTTATGCTCAACTAACTACTAACCTAAAAAGGTTGGCAGTTCAAACCCACCCAGTGCCACCCCGAGAAAGGCCTGATGATCTACTTCTGTAAATATTACAGCCAGGAAAACCCTGTGGAACAGTACAGTCGACATAAGTCGGAATCAACTTAACAGCAACGAGCTTATTTGTTTGTTTAGATATTTTAGTGGTAAGTGGGAGGAACCAAACCTAGATAATTTAATTAAAAAAAAAAAAAGTTGTTGGAAGAATACAGGAAAGCTCACAGGTGGAGAAGAAGGGCTGCAGAACCAGGCATGGGAAAAGGCAGGACCCAGAGCAGCTCTTTGGATCTAGATCACAAACTATGGGGCACCTTCTCCAGGCACAAACACCTAGATGAGTACGATAAAATGGTTGCTCAGTCTTTGGGAGTCATTCTGTCGTGGAATATGTGTCCACCCCTTTGCCAGAAGAGGATAGTGCACCTAGACTGGTTGGCCCATCATGACTTCAGACCCAAGAGGAAATCATGGGATGGTTGTCAGTAGAAGGGAAGGGGGATGAGTGCCTGCAGACAAAAACAAAAACAGTTCTCCCCACCTGATCTCATAGGATTGTTGTGAGTATCAAATGCATGTAAGATGCACACAAATCCTAGCTCTTAGTGTGCACTAAATGCATTTTAGCTATTATATACTCTGCACAGGTATGTCTTGGTGTGTGTGTGTGCGTGTGTGTGTGTGTCTGTGTGTGTGTGCACACTAAAAGGAACTGAAAGACAATGTATTAAGATATTAGTAGAGGTTACTGATGGTGATTATTCTTAATTTTTAAAAATTTTCCAATTTCACCAAAATGGTCAAATACTACATTTTTAATTAAAACAAACCCAAATTTATTTTCAAAAAGAGAGAGAGAAAAAAAATCAGGATGAGATTTTAGGCTGTCAGTTGGGCTGTAAGAAGATGGAGAAACGATAAGAGGAGAGAATCTCTGATTCCAAAAACCAAACCAAACCCACTGCCATCAAGTCGATTCCAACTTATAGCAACCCTATAGGACAGAGTAGAACTGCCCCCATACGATTTCCAAGGCTGTAAATCTTTACGGAAGCAGACAGCCACATCTTTCTCCTGTGGAGCAGCTGGTGGGTTCAAACCACCAATCTTTTGGGTAGCAGCCGAGCGCTTTAACCACTATGCCATCAGCGCTCCAATCCCTGATTGAAACCAAACCAAACCATTGTTGTCGAGTCGATTTCGACTCATAGTGACCCTATAGGACAGAGCAGAACTGCCCCATAGAGTTTCCAAGGAACCACTGGTGGATTTGAACAGCCAATATTTTGGTTAGTAGCCAAGCCCTTAACCACTACGCCATCAGGGCTC